CCCCCCCCCCCCCCCCCCCCCCGTCTAGTTATTTTCTCGAAGTTGTACACCGAAGTTTTAATTAACCCTAGTAGAAGGAAGCAAGGTCATGGACGCGACCAACTTTAAAATGTTTTAGGAATGAGTCAATTCCGAATTGCCTCCATCTTCTTTTCTTTCACATATAAGAAACTAAAACAACTAAAAGTTCAAATTTATGGTCAAAACCTATATAAGGTTTTTGTACTAAAAAAAAGGTATCCTCATAATAAGGAAACACCAATTAGACATTAAGGAATAAAGACACACTGCACCTATGACCGAAAATACAACCAAATGCATAAAGCCATGTGCTAGCGAAGAAAAATGACCTAAGGCTCCCATGTATATGAAAGTACAAGCTTGTTCTCTTCAACTTATTTTTATTACTTATTCTTATTAAAATCATATCAGAATAGATCATAAATAGCTTTATATATAATTACAATAAGATCTTACCAGATCACAATTTAATAAACCAAATCCAATCAGATAATACGCAGAGAATAATGTCTACTCGTAATCTATATCTTCATGCTTTACTATCTAACTATTGTGGCAAATGTTCGTCCCACATTTTAATATTGTTTGATAACTTTAGCAGTTTCGAAAAGGCTGTGACTACGATCAATTCTTCCACATTAGATGATTTTGGAGATCCAACAAGCAAACTACTAATCTTTCTTTTCCTTACACATAAACATATGTGAGTTCATTCTATTTCCTCTAATGCAACACAAGACAATCAAACTTCAAGAGACACCATCCTAAAAATATTTTGCAAGCATCCATATTCAACTCTTCACCATTAACAAAATTAGTACTGGAGTTATTTATAGAGATATGCACATTGCAAATTATGTTAATCTCAATTGTGAGAGATTCCTTAACCCAGACAACTTTATATGGTGAAAGGGTGTGTAGAAAAGATGAAGAATCTCAATTCTGTTAGTCCATACAAATTATTTTAATTTTAGTTCTCTTAGAGCTTTGTGCCCTGATATAATAATAAATTAGTTATATTATTTATTAATTAGTAGTTATTTAATATTCAATAGTTAATGTTGTTGAAGGTTTTAGTATGGGCCCGAGCCCATTAGGTCAAATACCGTTAGCATTAGGGTTTCTCTATCTCCTATAAATAGCGATGTAATCCTTTTATTCGACCGGTCAATAAAGAAATATTAAAATCTAATCTCCTCCTCTAATCTCCTGGAGTCCGGAAACGCTCGAAGTTTTCCATCTTTCTCTACCTCATATTTTTGGAGCTTGAAAAACGCTCGAAGTTCTTTCCTATCTGATACGATATTCGTATCAATTGGTGCTCTCATTGATTTGAACACCAATCTCACCACAAAAACAAAAAAAAGTTTCATTCTTCCAATCAGATCTTCCCCGTATGCTGTGTGTCGCCGCAATCCAGATTTGAATCAAGAATCTGGCAAAGACGCATCCCAACTGCGCCGTAGTAAATTACTTCGCCGCCGCCACTGAAAGTTCACCTTCACACCTTTGAGTTGAGTCACCGCCGCTGATCGGAAAATTTAAGAAGCATTTCCCAGTTCTTCGGCGTAGCTGTTACAGTTCTCTGCTGAAATATGATCCAAAGCTCGAAACTCCAAATCAAGTTTTGTTATTTTTAAAAAAAGGATTTGAAGATCTGATTTGAGAAGCTCTCAGATCCAATTCAAGTTTTGAAGATTTGATTTGCGATGCAAGGCTGCACTCTAGGAAGTTTTGGCTGTCATACTATTAGCTAGTGAACGTTTTTGGTTTTCATCTCGCACAAAAAAAACAGAGCAAGCATAGCAATTTTAAAAGAAATTCGAGTCGCAACCAGTGTTTAGTCATCCGCACGGTCATTCAAAGGATGAATACTTTTACTCAATCTTTGGCTAAAATGCAACAAGATTTTTCATTTCGGATGGAGGCCCGATTCCAGCGGTTAAAGACTTTGATTATGAGTACTAGTACATTGGACAAACTTATTGCTTTGTTAGAGATGGTTCTTTATGACGAAATTGAGCACGACGAAGGAGTTTGCATACTTTACGACTACATTGATGAAATGATAACGAATCTTCAGTCATTTCGTCCTATTGAAGGTCAGTCCAATTATGATTCTGACTTACATGCATTTGACATTGAAATCTCGTGTGCGGTACAGGATTTGGTTCGTGGTCCCTCAATTTTGCCGATTTTGATTCCTTTGGAGTTACAAAATTTCAGAATAAAAATGATGAATGCCATCTGAAACATTATCAATGCCCCGCTTTCTCCACCCAATTTGGCTCATATGGTCACCATACCAAACACTGAGTCTCATAAAAAAGAGTCAAAGGATGATTCAAGCGTAGAATCATATGTTGGGGATAACATGGACAGTGGGCCTGAACTCATAAATGCAGAGGACGAGGGGTCCAACTTCGTGCGGAAAAATAAAGAGTTTGCACTTTTAGAAGGTGTGAACAAGGTGACAGATGAAGATTGTATCCACGCTGATAACCCAATTTCGTTGGACACCATCACGTTGCTCGACATTGTTGGTATTGTCAAGTATGAGCACTTGGGTTCAAAGAAAATAGTTCCATGCAAGTTTGGCCATCCATCTTCTTTCTACCGCTATACTTCATCTGAGAAGCTTCTTGAAGATTGGTCTACAACTGGACATCTTTTCTGGTTCAGCACGTTCTCACATGTCCAAAAGCTTGAGTGGGAACCCCCACCTTGAGGACAAGGTGGTTTTTGAGGGGGCGAGAATAATATAATAATAGATTAGTTATATTATTTATTAATTAGTATTTATTTAATATTCAATGATTAATGTTGTTGAAGGTTTTAGTATGGGCCCGAGCCCATTAGGTCAAATACCGTTAGCATTAGGGTTTCTCTATCTCCTATAAATAGCGATGTAATCCTTTTATTCGACCAGTCAATAAAGAAATATTAAAATCTAATCTCCTCCTCTAATCTCCTGGAGTCCGGAAACGCTCGAAGTTTTCCATCTTTCTCTACCTCATATTCTTGGAGCTTGAAGAACGCTCGAAGTTCTTCTCTATCCGATACGATATTCGTATCATGCCCATACAGATTAGAATTGAACAAACAACTCCATGGATTGCATGTTTAGGTCCTAATTTAGTCTCAGATCACCCAAAAAAGTATAATGTGTAAAAATCTTCCACCTTTGTGTCATTTCAAACAACTCAACTATCTCATTTCAAATAACTCAACTTGAGATATAAGTTTAGGGTTACATTATACTATTCATTTTATATCTATTACAAACACTATGAATATTGTTCATTTTTATCTGAATATAACATGTATTCAATTGGTTATTAATGAAAAATTCGCTAACGCGTTGAAGTATAACACCTTCCCTCTAAATTCGTATAATGCTACTTACTTGTATGTTTATATGTATGCTAGGTAGCAGGAAGCTTATCACACCGAATTATTGAGCACACAACGATGTGCTTCTCAAACTTAGTTGGTCCTCAAGAGGAAATTGGGTTTTATGGTCACCCCATGGCCTATCTCGCTCCTTCTTCTTATGGACAACCTCATGTATGTGTGTGTGTGTGTGTGTATAAAATAAAAGGGCCACAATGAATAGGCATGGTGCCATAAGCTTTAACTGATTATTATACATTGTTTCTACCCTCTTGATTCATAAAGAGTCATTCCCACACACACCATAATGTTGTGTTTTTGTGGTGCGTATGTACGTGATCCTAATAAATTACTATGTATGCTTGTAGGGATTGATGATTAACTTCCAAAGCTATGTGAACAAGATGACCATGGTCTTATCAGTGGATGATTCTGTAATTCCAAATCCACACCAGTTGCTTGATGATCTTGAAATGTCTCTTAAGATCATTAAGAATGTTATCGTTGATAAGAACTACTAGTACACATAATTAGAACTATATGTAGGATGCTACATATATTTACATTTTAATAATTTGAATAAATTTCTATGTTATAAGTGGTATATACTCATATAAAAAGTAAATTACTTGTATTAAAATATTTATTTTCCCTACAACTATAAAAATCATAACTTCTCTTTGAATAATTAGAGTTCCTTGCAATAAAATTTTTATTTACTTCATATCTTTCGATAACCTGTAAAGTTTGATTGACAACCTGCCTTATAGAGACACCTATAGTGCTCAATGTTAATGTAATATTCCTCTTGTAACAAAATTTTAATATAACTTCATTTCATTTACAAGAGTCACAATCATGATTAGTCAAATGGTAACATTACACTACATATTCGATACAAACATTAGTTATATTAAGAAATTTAAAATGAATATGAATCTATGCGGTCATTTTGGGCTTGATTATTATTAGGATTAATATGAATTGTCGGAAACAAGATATTAACAATTATTACATTCATTATTATATTTATTTTATAATTATTATTGAACAATGATTAGGGGAAAAATACTAACGCGCATAACATACAAAATGTATCAAAATACGAATTCCATTTTTTATTCCAAAATAAGAGTTAAAAAGCAAATATAATGCCAATCATATTGATAAGTCCACCCGGCTCATATTGATAAGTCCACCCGGTTAATTATTGGGAAACTACGCTTGGATAGGGCAGCAAAAGACAAAATCTTACGTCCAAATGTCTTTTCCACCCAAGATCCCTTATGAAGATTATAAGTTATAGTTAAAAATTATACCTGACTAGGCGAGCAAGTTACAATGTAGAGTTGATGGAATTGGTCCAAGAGCTTACCCACAAAAGTATATGACTTCTAGTGTGTTCACACGAACTTTGAAAAGTGTTCAAGAGAAAAATTATGCGAGTATGTTTTTCCAAGAATATTTCTAAAATATAAAATATTTAGAGTAAAGTATTAAGAGAACAAAACAATATTTGTCTCTTAATTAAAGAGAGAGAGGGCTGAAAATATTGTTTAATAAAAGGGGAAGGATGATCTCCTATTTATAATGAGGATAATTCTCATTCCCATTCTAAATGGGAGTATGTCTTTTTATGTTTATAAATGAAATCAAATCTCATTCCTATTTTGAATTTGTTATTTTCGAAACTCCCCATTAAGGAAAACTTCCAATTTATTTGGTCAATTTTAATTATCATATAATTTACACAAAAAGACTAATATGAAATTTAATCATTATGTTCTTCAATTCAAAACCATCACATCCATCACATCCATTGCGAAAATCTCACCTCCGTCTGCCTACAGGATCACGTCACATCATTCTTTCTATTAACCTGCGTGTAGCAAATAAAACATACTACACTCTCAGCGTTGAAGTTGAGTAAGCATATCTAATGCATCAAACATCCATATAAATTGAATTTCAATTCATAATCAAATCATTTGATATGATGCACATAATGTTCAGTTCAGATATTCAATAATCAATATTAATATTCAACATTCATCATTCAACAATTTCCTTAAACTATTGTTAGTCTAAGGCCAATCTCTTATAATGTTTACCAACCCTTAAACGAATTCTAATTTAATATTCCTAAACTATATTCCAGTCTAAGGTACTCCTAACTAATCCTTAAATTAGGCCTAGTTTAAGATATAGATTTTCAAAAAAGGTTTTAAAATCTTAAACTTATCTTCGGTTAAGGTCAACAAGAAACCAAACAACGGAATGCACACTGTCGAGTTGGGTGGTATCCCCAAATGAGTGATCCTCAAGTTTGGTTTGTAGATCCCGTACGTACGTTTTAACCCAGGCCACAAAACATTCATAGTTATACCCGCAAGGCCTATTTCTAATCTATCTTAGAGGTCTTCTAGATAGTATTAGAAACCAATATCAACATGAATTTATCTTAGAGTTCTTCTAGATATCCATACAATACAAATCATTTCATAACCACCAGTGTATTCATTTTAAATCATGGTTCAATCATTCACAATAATCGTATTAATCAGTGGGTTTATCAAATCATAATAATCCGTAATAATTATTCATCATAGTCATCAATTAACATAACATCCAGTAGCAAATAGCGTTCTAGGTTCGAGTGTTAACACCCTAGCTTACCGGCATGCATCACATAAGATTTTATTTGTCAAAAACATCAATTTCATTTCTGAAAATCATATTTATATTGATCATAATTGATTGGTGTCAAAACTAAGATTTAATAGTTCAAAAATCAGATTTTTTGGAAAAATATCAGATCAGACGGTACCCTTCATGGTACCTCAGTACCGGCAAACGGTACCTCGATACCGTGCTGACGGTACAGGGTACCGCCGGTTATCAGGTACTGCCATAGGAATCCTTTGTAGACGGTAGCATCCCTACCATTCCAGCGGTAGTGGGTACTGCTTGGACGGTAGCTAGCTACTGTACCAGCGGTAGTGTGTTACCGTGCACTTTTCATTGTTTTCTTCCTCGGGTTCATTTTCGGAACATTCACTTTTTACTCACCAAACTTCAATTAAACTATATAGAAATGCTCTCCAATGTTCATAGATCATTTGGTTATCATTAGTTCATAGTTTTAACAACAATTTCAAGGTCTTTGATTCTTGGTTCTTCATATATGTCAAACACAAAATTCAACCAAACGATCGTTTATGAACGTAGAAACGATCTATACAAACATTCTAGTCACTAGATATATCTACGGGCTTACCTTGAATCTTAACGAAGATTTTGAGAATTTTACGGTGAAACTTCCGGCGACAATAACTTCCAACTCCGTCAACCTCTCACAAAATTGATCGCACCACTGCGTTCTTCTCATTCAGAGCCACAGAATAGAAAGAAGAATTGTGATGAATGGTGAAGAAATGAGTTGAGGAGAAGTGTTCTTATATAGATAGGGAGAAGAAGAGGCTACCATTCCTGCTGAGTCATTGACGATTCACGATCGTGGATCCAGCGGTGATTTGTGGGATTTTATACGCCACTCCTTAATTGGAACTAATTTGGTCCCAGTCGGGGAACACTTTTTTATCCAACTTTCTCCGAATTAAATTCCATTTGCAGCGTTGCGATCAGATGGACAGTTGAACTCTATTCATTGATATAATTTTTATATTTATTTGTAATACTTTTTCCGACATCATATTTTTGGATAGTTGACTTTAAAAGAGTCGAAAATTTATTTAGTTGACTTTTATTCAAAAAGGTTATTACATATAATTCATACTATTTATTTTCATGAATCATTCATTTCAAAATTCTCATCATAGACAAATTCTTTGTTTATTCTTGATTTGGGTCTGTATTCTGGTTCTCAATCAAGATCATACAAATAGTCAACATATTGGATTATCTTTTTGAGACTTATCCAAATTATGTTTATTGGATATCAACACACATTTTATTTCGGCCCAAAGCCAAACAACAATTTATTTTAATCAAAACAAATTTGTTTAATTGAATATTTAATTCAATAAATTTTAGGGTATGTTTTGGGGCATTAAAATGAAGAAGCTAAGGAAAAAGCCAAGGCGTCATTGCTCGATCGCTGCAAATCATGTTAGTGGAGGGTGTAGTGATACATTTCGTTTCCTTACGCTTCTCCCTTATTGGGACTAATTTTGGTCCCAATCAGGTACACTTTTTGGTCTAATTTTCTTCAAATTAAATTATGATTATACTGTTGTATGTGGTTAGATAGTCAAACTCTATCCGACGATATAATATTTATATGTATTTGTAATACTTTTTCTAACATCATGTTTTGAGTGTTTGATTTGACATAGTCAAAATCAATTTAATTAATCCTTTATTCCTAACATTTTCATATTCAATTCATAGTATTCAATTTAATTATTTATTTTAATAAATCATCTCAAGAATCCAAATAAACAATTTTTTTTATTAAATCTTGGTTTGAGTCTGTACTATGGTCATTAGTCAAGACCACACATATAACGTCTATTTCTAATTTATTTTTTTGAGATTTATCCATAGTCATGATTAAATAACTTCAAAGCTCAACAATAATTTATTTTAATCAGAACAAATTTATTTAATTGAATAATAATTAAATATAACTTTTAGGGTGTATTGTAAGGCATTACATTCTCCCAATACTTATCATACTTTTCTTTCATTTGTAACGCCATAACTTCAAATTCCTTATCAAAATCCAATAGCCATTGGCACAATAAATAATGTGTATGACTAATATGAAAGAACAAAGATTTCTAAAAACAAAAAATGAACCCAATACACGAGTAGTTAAATCATAGAACTCCTTTAAAAAATTAAAGTAGCAAGTCTTTCAACCTTCTTCTGCTCCTCAACTGAAGGAGCACTAACGTTACCAAAATACTTCATCTTACCAAAGACAAGTCTATGCTTCAAAATAGTATTCAACATTTCATAGGTTGAGTTCCACATAGTGCAACAATCAAGAATTAAAGACAACTTGTAATCAACTTTACTTCTCTAGCTAACTCGTTGAAGTAAATATCTTATATCCTTTATATATAATCCTTTATATATAATATTTGAGAGTTGAACTCTTAAAATTGTGACATTTGGCGTGCTGACTGGAACTTTTTTAGATATTAGATTTTGATTATCACATCAGATATCTTTCTTTGATCTTCATTCATCGTAGATAAATATCCTCTAAAATCAAATGACAATTTTTCTTTGTCATAGTTCAAGTTCTAAATAAAGAAATTATTTTCAAATCTATTAAGAAGACTATCATCTAGAAATGACATAACACTGAACTCCTTTAAAAATATATAATTTTGATATTATTTTTAAACTTTTCCTTTACTTTATAATAAGGTAATAAGGTATGATATGTAGGATAAATGATTTTAGGGTGTGCCTTTTTTCTAATTTGAAAAGTTTTGTGGGACGGCTTTCTTTGAATTTGAAAAATTTAATGGGACGGGTGTAGTATAATTTTCTTCAAATATCTAAGGTTATTTATTTATATTAGGCTTCCCCAAAAACAATTTACTTAAGTAGTCAACATTGCGT